TACACATGCGCATATAAACACACAGATGCACATACACATGCACACATGGTTTTTGTGTGTATGTATGTATGTATGCACATGGCGTGAGCGAGGGCCAGCGTGTGGGGATGATTTCTTGCTTGCTAATTTAAGGTCCTGGAACTTCGGCGGTCAGATCCTCGGGGAATGGTGCCGTTTGACGTCACCGCGGGAGGCCCCAGGGGCCCTGCTGCCCTTGGCCTCCTTCGTTTCTCAATTTCTTAGCTCTTAATGTCAGATGCACAATTTATACCGCATCCAGACGTTTTAAAAAAATTCTTTTCTCATCTCTTTTGTTTCTCACATCCCTTTCCAGCCCCATCTCTGCAGCAATGAATTTTCATTGTTTATTTAATATGGAACCCCATTATTTTACGGTCTTTCTCAGATATCTTTTTAAGCGTTTTTAATAAACATTTAGATTTTCTAAGGCGTTCATTCCAACATGCTGTCGGCCGATTAGGACCTAGAGATCAGAGATCTGCTCCCTTCATCTGTGCCCGTGTGGTGTATCCTAGGCTTTATTTTAATTAACATCTTCGATAGCGAGTGCTATGTTTTGGTCATTCGTTTTGGTCAGCATTCATCACTCATTTTTCAACGCATGGAACATTGTTTACCTATTAGAAGCTAGGTGCTGTTTTAAGCGGTTGCTGGGGTGCAAGGCTGGATAAGCCAGGGTCTCTGCCCTCAGATCCCTAACCAACCCCCCAACACCCCCTGAGGGGAAAGAAGCTAGGTAGATAGGTAAGCAGGACTGGAAAAGATCATGATGTTTGAGGCTATTAAAGCTTAACTTTTGAGAAATGGCTACTTGTCGTTTATACCTGAAGCGCGTGTTATATGGTGCTCTTCCCGTGACCACCTGTTTGTCCTTTCATGCCCTGCAGGGTGCCCTTCCCTCTGTCCCAGTGTGTCCTGTCCCTGCAGCTCCCTTTAACTGAGACCATGCCGCAGAGCTGGCAAGATGCTGGGCCCAAGCTTTAAGGAGGAGCAACAGTTTCTGCTTTTCTGATCTTGGAAGCCACCCTGAGGCCACCAGGGCAAGCGGAAGCCCAGGATGCAGGTGCAGGGGAGTCAGTGAAACCAGCAAGAACATGGGTCCCTGGCTGACAGCCACCCCCAGCTTAAGAGACATGGGACGTGTGCTCAGATCACTAAATTGTGAGCAAGTAAATGGTTATTGTTCACCTGAAGTTTTGAGTTAGTTTGTTTTGTGCCATAAATAACCTAGCAGCATTCAAGCTTAATTACACAGTCCCTGATTTTCTAATTGCCCAGTCGGGTGGGGCTGTGTGAAAATGATGCAACCTGCTAGGGCTGCAGGCTAGGGTTTTAGGGTTTGCGGGGGGTGGGTGATGAGAGCGAGGAGGAACCACAGTGGACCAAAGGGAATTCCTTTCAGCAAGTATGAGATTTATCCTAGGATTTGATTTTGTCTATGAAACTGTAAAGGGCATTTAAAGAAAAATGAGTAATATAAAAGGAACATTAAACAGTTGGCGTGACAATCAAGGAGACCGTAACCTTCTGAGTGTATCTGTCATGGCGAGCGGGAGGGGACGCTACCAGCAGAGACACTTACTGTTTTGAAATTCTTTTCCTTCTTGTGCCCAAGCGTGCGTTATATTTTATGGCACCGCTGATACAGCTCTGCACAGTAGACAGGACAGCAGCTTCCTGGGCCCAGAGGGTCATTAATTGATTCTTTTGCTTTTGTCGATTCAGATTTTTTTTTTTTCCGAAGTATTACTGTGCGCCAGGAGGTACGTTAAGAAGGGCGAAGGGGATTAAGGTGAGATTTCAGAGCTGAGTATTAACATTTCTTCTCAGGAACCCAACATGAAAGAAAACGGATTCAAACACGGTTTGCGAGAAGAAGAAGGGAAAGCAGGAGGACAGAGCGGGTCGAGGGAGGTGCCAGGACAAGCCCAGCGGGCCCGTTAGGCTGATGACGAGGGACTGGCCTGCGTGAGCCCAGACTCTGGACGATGGCCCGTGCGGCCCAGGGGGACGAGTCTCTGTGTCTCCGACCTGCCTCTTATTCCCCCCTCCGTGTGTGTCACTCTGCTCCAGCCTGGCTGGCCAGCTGCTTGTTTCTCAGAAGCCCCTTAGCGCCTGGGGCGTTTGCACTTAACTGTTCACGGTGCAGGAAATTACCTGTTCCCAGATCCTTGCAGGGCACGCAGCTCAGGCGCGACCGCCACAGGGAGGCCAGCCCGGCCCGCAGGCGCCCACGCCCTCCGCGAACGCCCACCCTTGCTCTCCATCGTCCTCCGCGTCCTCCCCTTCCGGCCCCCTCACTGGACGCTTGCTGCCGATGAACAAACATTGCCCTTGCGTGTGTGTTTTACATGTGTGTCATCGGCGCTTATCCCGAGACCGTGCACCTCCGTCGGCACAGCGTCGCCGGCTTCTGTCCCTCGCCTGGCCCCAGGTAGCTGTTGCACCCCACGCTGTGGTGGCGGGAGCCCTTGCTGAGGCTTTGTTGATGTCGTTAATATTTTAAAAAAGGAAGCCAAGCGGTTTTGTTGCCCTCCTCCTGCAGATTCAAGCTTTTGTTCTAGGGGAGACAGGGCGGGACACAGATGGGGGCAGATGGCAGATGTCGGCAGCGGCTGCTCCCTGTCCCCCGGCCCCCGCCTCGCACTGGGGGAGCAGCGGTCTCAGGATTCTTCCTGGGTGTCTTCCCTGTGAGCACCTGGGGGGTGGGGGAGGCATGTTGGGGTCCCCTCTCCTGACTCTGGGGCCTCCCGCATTGCACCCTGTGCTGGACAGTGTCCGACAGGCACGCAGCCTGGCCCCCCAGCAGGCGCTGGTCCCCCAGGCGTGCGCCTGGCGTGGGCCCTGGGACTGCGACATGCCTTAACTTGCATTCCATCCAGCCTTCTTTTTGTTTTAAGAGCGAGTGTGACTTTTTTTCTAGCTGAGTCTGAGCTGAAATGGGTGGTTCTTGGGACATGGCAGTTTGGAGGAGATGAAATAAGTCCAGAAGGGTAAAACTGAAAGCAGGAGAATGTGGTGAGGCCTGAGAGGTAGGTGGCCAGGGCCTGGTCCAGAGCGGGCCTTCCCCAGCAGGGTTTTTGGAAGATGGTCGGACAGCTGCATTTTAAACAGATGTTCCAAGGCCAGCTTTGTGTCAGGACCTGTGTGCTGGCCACAGGAGGTAGACGTGGATTCAGAGGAAGAGGCTGTGTGTGGTGGGCTAGGTGAGCGATGAGGGTGGCTTGGACTCGGCTAGTTGCGCTGGGGCTACAGAAAAATAGACAAGTCTAAGAGATCTTAGGAGCTAGAACTGTGAAGACGTAACTAATTCATTGAACATCTATTAAATGCCCTCCCTGCACAAGCGTCGGAGCAGTGAATATGAAAGGCTTGGTCGCTGCCCCACGGAGTGAATGCCAGGTGTCTGGCTTGAGTCCCTGCGTGGAAGGCGGTGCCATTTGCTGGTCTCAGGTGCTCTGGAAGAATCACGTGGTGGCAGAGGTTACAAGTTCAGTTTCAGTGTGAGTCCGAGGTTAGTGAAACAGCTCTTTGTGAGACTAATCAGCTCTTTGGTGAGCACCCAATTAAGAGAAGCGTTTTAATGGAGACAGTGACATGTTCTGGATGCTTAGTTGTTTATGAAATGACAGCTTAACTGTAATTGTTCCCTAAGGAACAGTGTCATGACACAAATATAGTTTAGATCAATTACAGCTAGTTCAGCAAGGCACTTGGCTTTACCAACAAAGGACATAATTATCAGATCTTATACATTATGCAGTGAAACTCAAATGTTCTTATTTTGTGTTGGTTTACTATCTTCATAATCATTTGAAAGTTTTCTGTTTACAATTGTAACATTCGTAATGTAATAATTGGCATTGGAGTAAAAATTAATGATCTTACAAATAACACCTTCACCTTCTATGCAAATCTCTGCACAAATGAAATGATTCATAAAAATGAAAATTAAAATGTATTAAGTTCTTGCTCTCTGTCTTGCAAATACAGTTATCAAATCAAGAACGAATTGTGACTTAAGTAAGAGAGACTTTATTCGAAAGGGTTATTGTGAGAGCAGGGACAGCAGCTCTTGTCACGGGCCGGAGGCTCTGAGCGTGCGATCTCGAGGTGTCTCGGCAGGTGGACAGCCAAGGGCTTTTATGGGGAGCTGTGACCGAGGCCAGGTGGGCGTGGGGGAGTGAGGGGAGTGGGTAGAGATGGCATGACGGGACGGCGGGCCCGAGAAGGGTTCACCCTGAGGCTGGTCCCTGGGACACGGGGGGGTAGCGCTTTCTGGAGAGCTGTGTGCCCGCTCAGCTTGCGGGTGAGTCACTGCCCACAAAAGGGGACCCTTAGCTAAAGTTTGATCAAGTCAGGCTAAGGGGCACTCTCTGATTGATCATTAGGGACAAATAGGTCAGCTGATTATGGAGCAAAGAGTGGGAATTTGGAGGCCTGTGTCTGACCTCGTGGTGGGTCAACAAGGGGGTCATCCGTGCACGCAGGTCTCACCTCAGCCCCATGGGGGAGGTCGGTTCTTTGCAGCCACCGAGTGTTCGTGAGCTCAGCTAGGTCAGAGCACTCGCTGGCCAACTGGCCAGGACTTAGGAGCAGACCAGGTAGGACCCCCACGCTCCACGAAGGCCGGTCACGTGCATCAGTTTTCCTCACCTGCGTTCTGATCCTGGCACCGTTCGTGGTTGGTACCGAAAGGTGTGTGGGGCTGTCAGGGAAGCTAATTGCATTTGCCGTTTGTGAAACAGCCATCCCCGAAGTGACCGGTACAGAGAAATATATTGAATCTTTTTAATTTCACAATTTTTAGCCCTGTTTTATGTGGTTTGTGGAAACAGTGTGACTCATGTAGCAGGAACTTCAATATTTGTCATTAATCAGTGATGTGTATTGATTAATCCAGTGTTTCCTAACATTCAAGATCAAGAAGTTACTTTCAGATGTGAATGTTACAAATCCAGTTTGTTTGTTTTTCCCAGTTCAACTTCGTGGGGAAGCTTTTGGGTCCACGTGGCAATTCTCTGAAGCGTTTACAAGAAGAAACCTTGACAAAAATGTCCATCCTTGGGAAAGGTTCCATGAGGGACAAGGCAAAGGTAATGTTCATCGTAGACAGTGGCTGCTTTTTTGGTGGTTGTGTCGATCACCTGTCTGTCATACCAGTACACGTTACGTGAACGCCGACTAGAGTCTCAAGTGAGATTACGTGAAAATATTATATAGGGAGATGTATTGATGATGCCATTTAGAAAATTGAGTCACTCTGGCCAAGTTCAGAATATGTAGTATCTTAGACCTGCATCTATAATTGTTATCGTCATTTATAAAATGAAACAGTAGTACCTAAGGTTTTGATTCTAGAAGCAGCTCGGTACCGTGTAGAGAGTTCAGTGACATTGAAATTCTCATGCAGAGAGATGAAACTTGCCTGCAGCCAGTGTCACCGTCACCGTCACCGTCATCATTCTAGAGTAGTTCCTCGGGGTCTTTCTCTAGGCCGGTGTTTCACATAGTTGAATTGATCAAGTAGATACTTTTGTTTGCCCTTTTTGCCCTTCATTCGATGTCCTATGTATTTTATCAAGTTAAAATTGATTTTAAATGTTTTAATAATGGCTCGCACAGAGTCGTTCTACTTGGACGTGTTCACATGAACTGCTTCCTTTTTTAATAAGCGGAAGTTACTGAGTTATTTTTATTGGTCACTTTCTTAAATATACCAATTCTGAAAGAAGTTTTCACGTTTGCTAGTGCGCTGTCACTGAGCTGTTCTGTTACCGCTCTGCTGGTTTTTCACTGTTAAAAGATTTATGTTACTAGGAACCAAATCTGCATTTAGTGGTCACCGACCATGAAATGTTGAGCAGTGAGTGTGTCAGATGAGAAAGTTGTTTAGACAAAATCCAGCCTCCTCACAAAAAGTTCATCTAAAGAATAGCTTTCATAATAAAATAGCCACCCTTTGTTTATTGAACTGCCACTATGACTCAGGCACGGTGTGACACGTTTACATGCTTTAATCCATGTTATCCCTGGAAAAATGATGGAGGATAAACGTACACACATGTGTGTGTACACACTTAAATTTTACCTGTAAGAAAACTGAGATTCAGAGAACCTGAGCGTATTATCTGGGTTAATCAGGGAAGCTCATTGTATTATTTGATTAAAACATGGCTCTGTATCAGACTCATGTGGGATATTGTTTAAAAATACATATTCCCAGGCCCCCACCTGTTTAGAGTGGAGCGTTAAGCTGAATTTTCAGTAGGTATGTGGAATGAGTCTGATTCTCAGCCGGGTTAGGTTACCCACTCACTAAGCCTTTCTGTCCCTAAGGACGTTCTGTGGCTCTGTCCCATCTGTTCTGAGGGTGGGGAAAAATGAAACCTTACATTGGTCAGTTGGTCAGAAATCGTGTGTCTTACGAGAGAGCGCCCCACCCTCGCCAGTATCTCAATTAAGTCTTCAGTAAGGCCATCGTAATGAGGTCCCTGACGTGACCAGTGAAACCCGCTGACATTGTGCCACTTATTTGTTGTTCATGGAGTTCCTTGGCCAGTAGCAGTGTCTCGTGGCGCTCGGTGGCGGTGACCAGGCCACCCACAGATAGTATTACAAGAAGAGGGGAGTGGAGGAGGCAAGTCTTTATCTGGATTATATGCCCACGTAACGGCCAGTGCCTGGCCGTCCGAATGAAGAGAAGGAGCTGAGCATTATCAGCTCGCTGTCGGGGGCTCAGCAGTCCTTCTAGATCATGTTGTTTCAAGGGCGGGAGGCAGTTCTCCACTGTGGCGTGCCGACACACGGCAGTGGCGACAGCCAGTCATCCGTCTCGAGGGGTGTCCGTTGTGAAGTCATGCATAGCCCCTCTCCCCGTCACCACGGGCATTCTGTTGACGCGTCCCTTGAGTAGCATAGGAGGCTGCGTATTGAAGAGCTTTGGTGTCTGCTGTAATTGGTCCCCTCGGCTACCTGGTCACTGGATGCCTGCTCTGCATTGCCTGTGGTGTTCGTTCTTACACACCTGGGCCTCTTCCCCAGACCGTTCACCACCCACTCCCTGATGTCTCTTTTCTGTGTCCTTGACCTCATCAGACAGAGGATCGATGTGGGGATTCTGCAAGTGACGGATCATTTATATCCCATCAGGACAACCGGAAACTGGGGCAGAGCGTTCCCTGGGGGTTTACGGTCCAGTGAGCCCACTGACCCTGGACGAGGACCCGGAGTCCTTCGATCTTTGACCCCATTCGCCCTGCTCTCCTGTGGACGCTGCTGCTGTCCCGTCTGCTATACTGGGATCAGATCCTTGCTGCCTGAACTCCTGAATACTGAGTTCACGTGGTCCTCTTTACTAGTTTCATTAAGTCTACAGAAATTCTTCGTTTAATAACATATTTATTTCTAAAGAGATTCCATTACTTCGTATTAAAATCTCATTCTTCTAGATTTTCAAAGTGTTCACTATTTAAATTCTAATGGGAACATAATTCATTTTCTTCTTGTGTTCGCTACTTTGACGACATTGCGGTACAAATTACTGACATGTGCTAGCTGGTTATGGAGCGTGATAATCGCTATAACGCCGTGGTCTTTGGAGCCCTCTGTTTGCGCCAAACGGCATGCTGGGTGTTCTGCCCATGTCATCTATGTGCTAGAGTAATAGAATAATTAATATTAGAATTGGGTAATAATAATGATCATGATCGTAATAATTGTTACTTTTCATCATTTATCGAGTGCTTATTATGTGCTAGGCATATTCTAAAGACTTTCTGTCTTTAGACACAAAACTCCTTTATTATCACAATTCCTTTATTACTAATCACTCTTAATTACTGTTATAATAACTGCTTTATTACTACAACAGCCCTATGAGCAATAGATATTGCACTGTTCTCACCATTTAAAATCACCCCTTCAAAATGAGGATAAAGTAACCTGCTCAGAGTTACACAGTATAGATTGGATTTGGGATTTGAATGCAAGAACGTCGAAGTCTGGGTTCCTCCCCAGACACCACATTGCCTCTTCTCATTAACCATGAAACAGTCTGGTGAGAGCTACTTACGCAGTGGGCTGTGATTATGCTAAGAACCGCGCCCCCCCCGCCCCCCGCCCCATCCCATCTTAAGTCTGTGATAGAAATGAAATGGCTTGACTGTGAATCGACAATTATAATCTCATTAAAATTATTATTTTGGTACGTATCAGAAAAAGGTAAGGAGTGGTTATTTTAGTACTGTGCATAGAATCCAATGATTAAAGTTTCAGCTCTAAAAGGCAGAGTATCAGACCGAATGATTGAAAATGTTCTGATTAGAACAATAAATAGTCTATTTTTGGTGTAAAAGGGTAGTACTTTCTATACTAAAGACAAAGTTCAGAGAAACTATATAGGATATTATGGTAGCTTATATCTGTTCTTTCTTCACATAGTTTTCTTTCAATTTCTAACTTTCCATAAATGTGAAGGAAACCAGCATTTATTGAGTGCCTGCTGAGTGTAAGGCAACATATTAGGCAGTATAAACACTTTTTATTTTACTTGGCTTCTACATAAAGCTGGTCCTTTTTTCAATGACCCTACGTTAATTCACACCAAACTGATTTTGCAAGTTAGATGTTTGATTGCATATAACCTGCCTACACTCACCAGCCTAACTAAGATTCAGGTGTATCTGACTCTGAATCCTGTGCCTTTTCCATGTTGATATCTCTTTTCTTCGTAAGAATTCAGATTAGTTAAGTCACAAAAGTTACAGCTGAAGAGTGAAGTCGAGGGTGTTTGTGCCTCCTTGGCCTCCTGGTCATGGCGGAATTAAACAATAATGTCACCGGGAGTTCCTGGGTCCTCTCTCGTGGGATAGGTTTTTGGGGGGATGCTGGCAAGGCGTTCTACCTATTGGACATCGCTTTAGATGTACGTTCCTCCTGATCTGAATCTGTCTGATTTTAACGTTGGAAACAAAGACTATTCAGAAACCCAGATTCTGTGATCGCCATCCTGATAGAGGCTAGTTACAAAAAGATAACGGAGCAAAATCAGTAGGCCCTTAATTATCTGTTTTTTCAAATCTCCCAGTTTCCCCGTTTCATTGTACAAACAACAAAAAAGTGTAAAAAATGTTAATCATATTTATATAAAAATCGCATTACAAAATCTTTCATTTATCTTATTCACTGTTTTATCCTCACATAGAATATAGTGCCTGGCCTGTAGAAATGCTTTTCGAATCATGTACAAATAAGCAAATGGACATAGAAGTGAATCAATATTATTTAGGCATTCATTCCGTAAATACTTGTTGAGCATCTGCTACAGGCCGAGCATCTTTCTAGACAGAAAGCAGCACCAAGTGAGACAGGCATGGTTTGTGCTCCATGGTGATCACCTTCAGTGAGAGAAATCAGAAAACGGGCAAGTAGTAAATAAAGTCCCTTAGCTGTCGTAGACAGTGGTAAATATTCCAAAACGCAGGGTGACGCAGGGTGACCAGTGCAGAAGTGAGCTCGGTTGCTTGGGCAGCTGGAGAATCACAAAGGAGGCTGGTGCAGCGCCCGCAGGGGTACCCCAGAGAGCAGCGGAGCCAGGGTGAGGGGCAGAGGGCAAGTGGCCAGACTGCCAGGCCGGAGGCGGGAGTGGAGACTTAACTAGGTGGTGTTCACTCTTGAGTGAATCTCCTGCGACAACCATGCGCCAGATGGGCTCTGGGTAGTTTTTTGTTTGTTCGTTTGTTTGTTTTTTGTTTTTTAACGCCTGCAGCACCTGGTCTTCCTAGGTGGTCTCCCATCCAAGTACTGACCAGGCCCGACCCTGCTTAGCTTCCGAGATCAGACGGGATCGGGCTTGTTCAGGGTGGCATGGCCGTAGACGGGCTCTGGGTAGTTTTTATTTCCTTTTTCCTTTTCTACAATGACACCCTCTTAAACATGGCTTTTCTCTCTGCAGGAAGAAGAGTTGAGGAAAAGTGGAGAAGCCAAGTACTTCCACCTGAACGATGACCTCCACGTTCTCATCGAAGTTTTCGCCCCGCCAGCAGAAGCGTATGCCCGGATGGGACATGCTTTGGAAGAAATCAAAAAGTTTCTCATCCCTGTTAGTACAGTTTTTCTCGATCATTAATTTGTAGCTTAGAGTTCTTCCTTTATTTTAATCCTTGATAACTCTTATCAGTGATTGTCATTTGCATAGCACTTTGCTAAAGAGCTTCATGTACGTCCTTGCAAGAAGACCTCACAGTGTGCCCTTGAATTCCTTGACATTATTCTTTCTTCATATGTGAGGCGACAGTTTTTAAAAAGATGAAATAATACCGCTAAGGTAACGTGGCTTAGAACGTTGAAGAACACAGTCACTTGTCCAAGTTGTGGGGTTTCAAGTCCGAAACATTTTTGGGACACTAAAATCACTTCCCAAATTCATCGTTGTCCAACGAACTCATTATTAGCGCTCCCGTGTATTTCTGAAAAGTTAAGTTCTTTTAACTCAGTTAAGTTCTTTTCCCGTGAATCTGTTTTTAACCACACACAATTTTGTGTCACACCTCCTGACACTTTTCAGCAGGGCAGATATTTAGCATTTATGTAGCACGTTTTATTTAGAACGTGCTCTACAAATAATTTATTAATCTTCACACATTTCAAGTAAAATGGTAGAGAACATATTTATAAGCTTATTTTAGATAGGTTGAAATCATGATAGATCCAAATGACTCTTCTGAAGTCACGGTGCCCTAAATAAATTAGAGAAAGAGGCTATGTTTACAGTAAAACCTGGACCCCTAATCCTTAGCCTTTCCTGCTAATCATAGTGCCCTAATTCCCTTCCTCCTCCTTTGCAGGTGTCACTGACTGTAATTTCAGCTTTGTTTTTGATCGGTATTCATATTTTTTTTTCTTATTTACAATGTCTTCTGCTACAAGCTTCAAGTCAGTTTTTGCATTCAGTTTTGGAAAAGTAAAGAAGAGACAGTGTATTCTAAAAATAAGTTTACTAAAGCTATTTTATTTTTTTCTAAATTCAGGAAATCATCTCTTCTAAATCTTTTATTCAAACTCAGATGTCCTCCTGTTCCTCCTGCCATCTCTTTCTCCCTCCAGCTAGTCCCTCCTCTCTTCCTCTTTGTGGCCCTGTGACTGGAAGAGGCTGCCTGCCTCTACTGTGTCTGTGATTTACTCACATTCACTCTGGATCCCACAGAAATGGAGTCCGGATTCACCCTGCTTTTAACAAAACTACTGTTCTTGAAGTTGATGAACGCCTTTCTTGGGTATAAATCTCATGGGGTTAGCACCTGGCGGCTTGGCAGACTGTGAATGCCACACTGACTTCCTGTGGCTTTCAGGATGCGGTTACCTGCTCGCCCTTCTCAGGTTCTGGCACCCCTTGTGGTCTGCCTTGTGTAGGCCTTTCTTCTTCTGCCTGCCACTTTATGCTGATGTCCACAGCTCTGTCTGTCCTGAGCCTTCTCTGTGCCCCAGGCGGTCCTGCTTATTGCCGGCCTTTGTATGCAAGTGAATTCTTGCCTAGGTGTTCCCAGCAACCACCTTCAAGCTCAGTAATTCTCTAGAAGATCTCATGGGACTCAGAAAATCTTTTGTACTCTATGATTATGGTTTATCTCAACAAAAGGGTACAAATCAGAATCAGCAAAGAGAAAAGGAGTGAAATCCAGGAAGAACAGGGCCCAGGCTTCCCCGTGTCCCTTCCCGTGGAGTCACATGAGGACACGTTTGGTTCTCCCAGCATCCGTGTGTGACAGCTCACCTGGGCCTCAGTGTTGAGGGTTTTCACAGGGGATCAGTCACGTAGACATACAGTGCCCGTGAACTTGACCTCAGCCGCTTGTGTCCAGCACCACCACCCCACTTTGCAAGCCGAAACAGAGGGTCCCCACAGATCACATTGCTAGCGCAGACTTAACTGGCCAAACCCAGCGTGCCCTTGAGCCTCAGGCATACAGAGCCGCACACAGCAGGCAGGACCCTCCGGGCTCAGAGTTTTTCTCCTAAGAGTTTGCTTAGGGCCAGCCTTGATCACAGGCCCTTCTCTGCAATGCACAGGGCCCAAGTGACACTTTGTTGTCCACTTCTGTCCTCATATCTTTAACTTCTAAACTTCCAACCCCTATATATGATGGTTATAGGATGTTTCAAGTTTTTTGTACGATGGGCATTGCGGATCCAACCTGTATAAAATTGATTACGTCACTATACCCGCTGTCATTAATCCTTATCTTTCACAAGCCAATCGGCATTCTGGACTTGGCTTGTTTATCCCCTTTATCCAGTGTCTTGCCATTTCTCCTAAAATTAAGCATTATAAATAGCTCCACTTCTCCATTTCTTCATCTTTCCTGCCACTTCCTACTCTAGACCATCTTTACCACCCATTGGAATTCAGAGCTTTCATCTGGTATTTCTGCGTCCAGCGTAATTTTTACCCTTTAATACCTCTGTTGAGCTATAAATTACACACCATAAAAATCTCCCCGTATCAAGTATACAATTCACTGGTTTTTAGTACAGATGGTCCCTGGCTTACGATGTTTCAACTTAGAATTTTTTGACTTTATGATGGTGCAAAAACTATGAGCTTTGTCAGTTTTGTTGATCTAAATTTCTGGTTTTGTTGATTTTTCTCTATTTTCCGTTCTCTATTTAACTTATTTCTGGTTTAATTTGTATTATTTTTTCCTTTGTATTTTCTTTTCTAAAGGTGAAAGTTTAGGTTATTTACTTGAAATCCTTCATTTTTTAAATATAGGCATTTAAAGCTATACATTCTTTTTCTAAGCACCGCCGTACACGCATCCTGGAAACATCGGTGCGTTGTGTTTTCTTTTTCATCGCTCTCAGGATATTTTCTTATTTTCCTTGTGGATTTCCGTTGCGATCTCATGGTTATGTTGATTATGTTCTTTCATTTCTGCATATGTGTGAGCTTCCCAGATGTCCTTCTTTAATGGATTTCTAATTTATTCCATCATGGTCAGAGAATGTACTTTGATTTCGGTAACTTTTAAAAATTGCGAGGCTTGTATTATGGCTCAGCACATGGTCCAGCCTAGAGAATGTTCCGGGTGTACTGAGAAGCATATGTGTTTTAGGGTGTAGTATTTCGTCAGTCTCCGCTTTCAGTCTCTGTTATCCAGGTGCATTAATGCTGGAATGATCTTTCCAAAACACAAACCTAAATATGCAACTCACCTCTTTAAAATGATGTAATGCTTTTTTTTAGTACCTTCAATTTTAGACATTTCAGGTAATATTTAAAATGACTTAAGGCTTTGCATGATTTGGCCTCGGGTTTCCCCTCCACTTTTAAGCCCCCAGTTGCTTTTATAATTCAACCATGTAGCACTACTTCCTGTTCCCTGGATGTATCATTCTTTTGGTCTTTGGAATACTTTGCTCGCCCTCCGCTGGGCAGCTAGTTCTCACTTGTCCTTGCTGACACTTCCTGTAGAGAGCCCGACTCTTACTCCCCACAGCTGAGTCAGATGACGTTCCTTTTGGAATAGTTAGACCTACGCTCCCCTTTTATTGTGAAACAGATCACACTTTTACTTATTTATTACACACCCTTCTTGCTGATTATTGACTGGCGCTGGGGATATCAAGGCAAGGGGAGGAATCAAAGGTAACGCCTGAAGCTTCTCGGTTGGACATTGGGACAGTAAAAGAAGGTAAAGACGAGCAAGTTTTCAAGGATGAGACAAGGTATTCGGTTTGGGAAACATCGAATGATGCCGCTTGTGCAGCATCCAGTGAAGATGCCCAGAAACCACGTGTCCTGGTTCCTGATGTCAGTGAATCTGCCATGTGGATGTGTCTTCCCCCTCCACTGGCTTCTGAGTCCCTTGGCTGGAGGGACCGTGCCTGCTCCTCCCTGTCTCCTGTCACTTGGCGCATCAGAGATGCTCAATGACTGCCGGTTGAATTGGTTGTAAATAGCAGTGCTCACATATGTGTTATTTGGCATTTTAATTTTATTATGAATGTTCGACTTGGAAATCACACCTGGGGGAGGGAGTTGTGGCCGATTGTAGAAAATTTGAGTCTTGGGGAAAAAAAATTCTGTTTTTTTGTTTGTTTTTTTCCTCCTCCTTTTACGACAATACAGCGATACATTTTCATTTGAACAAACTCAAATCTCGTTTTATGACTTCGACTATGTCCCTCACCTCTGTTATCAATTAAAAATCACGGGCCTCTCGTTCTGGCCGCCCTCGCATTTCCTGCCCGAGGTCAGTCACCCAACCTGCCGTCTCCTCCGCAGGACTACAACGATGAAATCCGGCAAGCGCAGCTCCAGGAACTGACGTATTTGAACGGCGGCTCGGAGAACGCGGACGTGCCGGTGGCCCGCGGGAAGACCGCCCTGCGCCCGAGAGGGACGCCCGCCCCGGCCATAACCAGGTGGGCGCGTCATCGTCTTCGGGCGCGTGACCGCGGTCCCCAGGCTCCCGCTCGTAGCCGTCAGGCGGCTCTGTCGGCGTCTCGGCGTTTTTCTTCCATCCTCTCTTCCATCCTTTCGAATCTAATGCCCACCCATCTCCCAGTTTTTATTTATGATCTTAATCATCTTAAAATTAAATTAGATAATATTTCCTCCCTGCTTGAAATCCTTCGGTGCATCCTCTGAGGGCAGAAGAAATCCTAGCCTCCCTGCCACTCAGATAATATTTCCTCCCTGCTCGAAATCCTTCGGTGCATCCTCGGAGGGCAGAAGAAATCCTAGCCTCCCTGCCACTCAGGCCGTCGCCTGGCTGCCCCGATCCGGGCTTCTGCCTTGCCGTCTCGGCCACCCCAGCCAGACTGGCCTGGAGCCTTTGTGTCCTGCAACGGGCCCAGCTCCTTTCCTTCCCGAGCCCTTCTCCCGGGAAGGCGTGGTCTCCCGCCACCTCGCTGCCCGCGCTCGGCACTGCGTTCTCAACACACGTGGGGACCCTCGGTCGCGGCCTTGTTTAAAGCATCCGTCTCCCGCCCAGACCTGGTCCACGACACCCTGTCTTCGGTACTAATAGCATTTATCCAACTCAGTCTACCTCTGTTGTTTGTTTGCATTTTCATCGGTGTCACCTCATTATAATGTCGACCCGCGAAGGTCGTGGACGAGTCCCCAGGGTCCCTAGTACCCGGCGTGTGGTGCTCACTCGGTCAGGAGCTGCCGAGTCAGTCCCTGACGACAGCAGATCCCTGTGGCTCTTCCCGGTCACGTGTTGACCACTTACTGTGTTTTTGTTAATGTAGTTGTCTGTCCCACGGCCGACTTAGCTGTGTGGGAATGGTCACAAGGGTGTCACCACCTTGGAATTTCACCGTGGAACCAGTGGTTCCCGGAATCTTCACGAATGTTCTCCACCCACCGCTATCGCTTCAGAATACCTTTCTGCCAAGAGATGTAAAGACTCTAAAATGAAGCCCTGCAGTGGGACGTAATAACTGGTTTAATAAGACCTTTTCATGTCGGTTTCAAAGGAGGGAACTTGGGACTGTTTTAGGATTGAGGAGATGACGTTCCTGTCCTCCCAGCCTGTCCTGCGTCGTGCGAGACTCTAAAACGAAGCCCTGCGGTGGGAAGTAATAACTGGTTTAATAAGACCTTTTCCTGTCGGTTTCAGAGGAGGGAACTTGGGACAGTTTTAGGATTGAGGAGATGAGGACGTTCCTGTCCTCCCAGCCTGTCCTGCGTCGTGCCTCCAGGCAGCATCGCCGGGGATTCGTGGCCCCCACACCCCATCCCTCCCACAGGCTCCAGCAGATCCGGGGGTGGGGGCGTGGGGGGAGATTAGGGAAGCAGCACGGATGGAGACCCGAGGCCACTCCAGGCAACACACTTTTGGTTGGTTTCATCGTTTTCTCTGTGGGTCTTCTGCCCCACGTCGCCTGCTGCCCTGGTCCAGGCGAGACCGTGTGAACCCTCTGGGATGCCCGCCCCCCCATTCCTATTAGTTCCCCTCCTTCTGGGTTGCTCACCCACTGGCCTTCGCTCTGGCCCTTTCTCCCAGGTAGCAGGTGGTCTCACCTCCCTGAACTTGATACTAGAAACAGCAGGAAGAGAAAGTGGGCAAAGCAAACGTTATCTGCCTTTCTAATTCGTAAAGACGCGTTCATCAGTATTGGGGGTTGAATGTGGCGGCTTTGTTTTAACCTAGGACATTGGGCTGACCCAGTCACTCAAGGTCTTTTATTAGCTTTCATCGAACTGGGGACATTTTCAGCTACGGCTTCTTCGAAGATCTCGCCTGCTGCCCCTTTCTCTCTCCTTCTCCCTGGACTGCAGCCCCGTGTTAGCTCTTACGGCTCCACTTCCCAAACTAGATGTCCCAGTGCTGGGGCGGCAGCAAACGCACGGCATTGCCATGGCACCGTGTCAGCTTTCACGGGACCTTAATCCTCAGCAGTGTCCTTCGGACACTTCATGAACTGTCAGCAAAAGGTGACCGTTTATGGTTTCAACGTCAGCTCAGGCCGCGCTGAGTTTAAGGGTGTCACGCCAATATGAAGCATTTGCTGTGATGAACAATGAGTAGTCACAATTACTTCGCCTGCTGGGCACTGTGTAACTTCTCAAACCACGGGGGTCACATGGGACACTGTCACCTCATTTCCTCATCCACATCGATTTTCACATGGTGCTTATTCTCCTTAAAGTGGATGCCGAACGATAGCAGAGATGCCAAAGATTGTTTTAATGACTGAAACTGTATAGTTTTCCTCATAGAGTATGAGGCTATGGGAAATGTTATCAGGAAAACTGAATTGTTAGTATCTGGGCCATAGATATTTCATGCAGCTGTATTTAAAGATCCTTTTTTATTTTTTATTTTTTTTAAGGAAAGGGTGTACATAGGAAAAATGCTAATATATTTCTTCTTCTATTAGACAGACTTTCAATTAAAAACATGTTACAAGGATGTTATTTGAATTGTTTGATTCCCTCTGAGACTTACCTTCTCAGGACATCCTACCTCGTGGACTGTCAGAGCAGTCAGTCACCCTCCTCTCCTCCCTTCCGATTCTGTGTCTACACCACGTGCCTTCATGAAAGCCTGGACGTCCATACTCGGCCCGTCCGCCCCACGTCCCGAGCAGGATACTGGCGGACTTTCCTTGGAAATGAGTTTCTCTGCTTTTTTTTCCTGCCACATGGCCCGCTGAGTTTCTCCCTCAGCCCTCAGCATCTAGGTCCTCCCTGTGCAGGTGCTCTCGGACGCCGTACTGGAGTTGATGACAGGAGACAGAAAGAGAAAAATGCGTGCTTTCTTTTAAAATCACCTTGGTAGGCTTTAGGGAGACAACACCTGAGGCAAATAATATTGCAGATGGGGCGAGAGGGTCTGACAGGAACTCGTAATGTGAATGCCAGGCCGGGACTGGCAGATAAGAGAAGCAGTTAGACGTGGCTCTCGGGTGTCAGCTTGGCCAGCCACGTGCATGGCGGGTGCAGCGTAAGCCGGACACGTGTTCCAGGCCCTCCTGTGGACTTCTGTGCCACCTGGAGGGCAGGGTTTGACACCCAGCACGCCGCCCGATTTTTCCTGGGGCGACGTTAAACAGGACCCACTCACAAGCAGAGGCAGCTGGACGTGAGGGGCCTTGCGAGCCTGTTCACACGGGGATCTCTCCCACCACACCCTGGTTTTTCAGATGTTTTAATGGTTTTTTTTTTTTCCCTCTTTGAAAATCCGTCAGTCTATTTCCGATGTTAGGTCATTTAACGTCACAAATTTTCCTTGAGCTCTTTCTGTGACAGGAATTCGAAGTTACAGAGATGCTTAAGTCATTGTTCTCCATCAGGGAGTTTAAGAGGGGAAAGCCAGAGAAACGAGTAACTATGGCCGAATGCTGTAAATACGGGACGAGGGATGCGGAAAGAGCCGAAACGGAAGTGGACCTGAGTGGGGACTGCGGGTGTGAGCAAACTTGGGAGGAAGTTGAAGAAATAAGGCGGCCTGTCCCTGCGGAGGGACAGAGGCTCAGAAGCAGACAAGTCGGGGACTCTTTGGGGCTTGAAGTTAGGGTGTGACACTTTGGGGGCATCGAGGTTCTGGAGTCAGTCCTGGCTCTTACTAGCTGCATGGTCTCAGGGGACATGCCCTGTCTAAGCCATAGTTTCCTCGGAGATGGAAAATTGAACGCATACTAAACCCAAACCCGACTTAATTTTTTTAATGTCCCGTTCAAGCCCAAAATGTGACGTGATTTCTTTTCTGATTCCTCAAAAGGATCCTACATTAGACATTGAATTCTTATAGCACAGATATTGGATCAGTCCCTCAATACAGGACCTTCAGCAAATCACCCATCTCTCCCAAAATGCCTTTATTGTCCATTTCGTGGTCATCAGACAGGGAGAAGATGCGTGCCTCATTGTCCCCAAGGCGGAAATAGGGCCAGTAGTTAGCGGGTAAAGATTTGTGCTATTTTCGTTTTCAGATGAAGAAAAAAACATAAAAACATGCCATCAGCTGGAACTGGAAGACAAGGGCAGGGTTCAAAGTGAGGGATAAGCTCTCCGTCTTTAGGGGGATACATCACTGGCTGGGAAGAAAAGGTCAACACGTTTCTCGCGCTTTAGAAGAGGTTGTACTTTCTCACACAGTCACCTTGTCAGCATTTCTACTAATCACCACTTTGTAAGCTGTTAGAGAGAAAAACAAATTGCCTCGGATCTGCTTTATGCTCTGTGCAGTGTCAACAGTTGCTCTGCTAAGAAAACAACAGTATTTTAAAAAATTACATTGAGGATTGGATGGATCACAGAAAAGGGAAGGTGACCAAGAGCTGTCATAACAGGTCGGTAACGTCTGGGTCTAAGCCAGCAGCAGCCAGCCGCCCGAGAGCTTGTGGGAGATGCAGCATCTCAACGCCCCCCACCTCGTGACTCGGACGCGCCCCAAAACCAGGTCCTGGGAGGGAGGTGAGGGTGCGCACGAACGTGGCGGGGGAAGCACCGCCCTAGGACCCCATCTCTCGTGATCTCGACGGGCGCTCAGAGTTGGGGCTGCCAGAGCCATCCATTGAGGAGTGGCAGTCTTCATCTGTGCCCCTGAGGAATTGTAACTACAGGCTGCCTTTGCCTTTCCCTTCCATCTGGCCTCTGGCAAAACAAAGAAACAAACAAACAACAAAAAAAACAGAACGATTAAGCTTTACTCCCTGAAAAACACTCACAGACATAAAGAAACGGTGTCAAATGCATTAGGGATTCTCTAGGGGAAATAAGTGACCTCTTGGATTGTCGTTCATCAGGTGTGGGCCTCACACCGAGGCCTGGAAAGCTTTTCTCACTGTGATGCCACCGGTGGCCGGCGGACGCCCAGACGCTCCGTCCCATGGGCACCCGCCTGCCCGCTGTGGGGCCGCCCTTCCCCAGGCCCCGGGTCACCTGTTAGTGATGCCGGGGCTAGCTAGCCGGAGCACTCAGGGCCGCTGCCACCGAGTGCATCGCTTCACCCTATCCTTTTGCCTCTCATAAAATTTAGAGATGAAAGCCCAACAGTGTAGTTTATGTTTACTCTTCCTCTCTACCAGACCGCGTTACCAGACACGTAGAAATTGTATATAAACATGGTGCTGCTAAACGTAAAACGCAGACTGACGTGAGCCGTCTCTCCCGCCTGCTCCACCCTCAGCCTTCAGTCCGCAGCCAGAGGGAGGCGTCAGGACAGCGTCCCGGGTGAGGTCTGCATGACAGTGACCGCCTACTAGTGCTTGTTCCAGGTTAGGCATTTTCTGTGTCCTGTGAGGTAACCTCACACAAGTATCCTGCAAGTACCACTTATTATTAACCCCGTTTTACAGATGGAGAAACCAAGGCTAAGCAGCCAAGTAACAGAGTTAGATTTGAGTGTGGGTGTGTTGGGACCCAAAGCATGTGCTTTTATCCCCCTACCTCTTAAAACCTCTTGTTTATAAACTAAATAATTAGTTCCTGATTAATTCATTGAATTCAGTCATTTAAAGCCCTGTTTCCATAAATATAGCCGTTCGCTATAAAACCCTTTCTAGATTATTTTTATATCTGAGTTTCAAAACCAGAAACCGTGGTCACCCTGCCGAGAAAATGCAGACGGAAAGAACCATCGCGGTCGCATCCATTCGTCTGATCGTGAGACTCGGTCGCGCTGTCCTTCTGCTCTCCCACACCCTCATTCTATCAACCTGAATCAGTTTCTCAGGTTAAAAATCAATCAGTCCATCCCCGTTGATTGTCGTGATCAATCTCAGTTCACAGGCGCTGCTTCTGTCCTCATCCCCATGTTACCAGCCCCTCTGCTCAGCTTTGTCCCGAACCTCATTTGTAGCATCGCGTGAATGCTTTGCAGTATCCCCGGGTTTTTACGTTGGCGTCTCACTGTCCATCACGCCTTTCTCTCGCCAGAGTCTCATTTAAAGCAATGCTGATCCTCCTGCTCACCACCAAACACTTCAGAATGAATCTTCAAAGCATCTTTGATAAGTATCTGGAGCTACGTGTATCAATGACTTGTCTGAAAATCTGTAGCAGATAACTTAGCATGATTCCGTGCACCCAGCGGGCACATAATCTAACAGTGTGGATGACAATGGGAAAGAACCGTGAGCTTCCTGAATGTATAAACTTAACGTCTTTCAATTTGGTGAAAGGCGTAAGTTTATATATTCAAAAGACATGCTGACTATTTTGTGGCCCCATGGAGTCCCTGGGGTATTAGATAAGGAAGAAGGAGCCTAATTTGGTTTGACTATCCACACATCAGCTGAAATATCACAGACGAGTTGGATGCACTGCAAGTGGAAACGACTTTTTCCCTCTAATCCCATCGAAAAATTTCTGGATATGTATTGGGGATAAAAAGACGAATGACATTGTAGAAATTACAGTGTCTGTCAGTATAGTTCAGACAGATCGAAACTTACATAAATTGTTGATCTGCATTGAATAGGAAGAGTGAAACACATTCTATATCCTGGGTCAGCCTCCCCTCGCAATGACACTGAGAAGCGAGTTCCATACCCACCGTCATGACGGAGGAAACTGGCCGGAACGTTCAGACCCTTGATCAGGTTGAGTGACAGGAAGGCGGAAGTTAGGCTGGTAGGTACAATCAGGAGTTGAATTCAGATCTGACACCAGTGGCCTTGGTCTTGACAACCAAGTTTACTGTACCAAATTTTATGGCCTAGAATAAAAAAAATAAAATAAAATAAAAAAAAGACATTTCGTACTACTTATAAAAGGAATAAAACAAGTTATCTCAGGGTGGAAGTCTTGCTAAGATTTTCCTTCATTTTGATGATCTTGACAGTTTTGAGATGTACTGGTCACGTCTTTTGTAAGTTGTCTTTCATTTGGGATTTCTCGAATAGTGTTCTCATGATTAGCCTGAGGTTACAGGTTTGGGGAATTTACAATGTCACGTCCGTCCCGTGATGTCAAGGGCACACACTACCCACAGGACTTCTCACTGTTGACGTTACCTCGGTAACCTGACTGCGGTTAGTGTTCTCCAGGTTACTCCACTGTAAAGTCCCCTCCCCACCTGCCCAGGGTGGAATATCTGCTTAAATTATTTGGAAGATTTTTCTTTTCCCTCCCATTTATTAATTCACCCATCTTTACACCGGGATAGACTCATGGATGTGTATTTTATCATTGGGTTAAAATCTGATACGACCTTATTCTCGTCGCTCTAGATGTGTCACCGCTGGCCGTTGGGAATCCTTTCTGCTCCTTTCGCATGCCCCCGTAATTTGTTTTAAATTTTTTTTTGAGTGCTTTCACACTTGCTGGTACAGCGCGTTGCTGTAGCATCATCTTGTGTATTTTCTGCTCCAGACCTAGAACCAGCCGTTTCTCCAGGGAACCGTATCAGAAACTAAGACTGCGTGCCAGTCCCGCTTGTTCCTACCGACGTGTTTTTGCTTCCAGGCCCCCTCGGCTCACAGAGAAGGACATACATGGCTGTACACTGACCCACGTGTAATCATACGTCTATGCGTATTTCCGTGTTTAACCATCTGTATCTATAGTAAACTAATCGTGAGTTCATATTGATGTCTCCGATTCCAATCCACTATTGTATTGATCATTCTAGCCTCCTCCCCTTGCTTATCTATAACTTTTACTCCAGCAGGAGTATGTGGCTCCACCATCCACCCTCTGTTTAATTGTCCAGTAGCAGTAGACACGGACAGTGCCATCAGAATCGTTAACCTGTACCCCCACTCCTCCCTGTGGGACTCACTGTACCAACTACAACCGTGCTTGGTGTACAATTTCTTTTGTGTTTACAAACATCTCTCATTTCTCAACTTACTTTTCCTCCCAAATCCATCATTAAGGTTGTTTTGTATGTTTAATATAGTTAAAAGGTTTTGTCACATTCAGCACCCCATCCTGGGAGACCTCAATTTCCTAAATAACGTGTAGTTTTTTAGTTTGCATACATTGAAGTTTACTCTTGCGCTATAAAATTCTGTGGGTTTGACAAATGTTTTGTGTTACGTATCCATTATTTCAGTATCATACAGAACAGTTTCATCGTCCTAAAATGTTCCTACTGCTTCACTTATTCAGCCCTCCTTCCAATCACTGATTTTTTTTTTTAACATATCTCAGCCTTTTCTTTTCTTTTCCTATATGTCGTATCATTGGAATTAGACAGTTTGTAGGTTTTTCAGACCAACTTTTTCTACTTCGAGGCATACATTCAGACTCATCCATATCTTTTTGTGGATTGCTAACTCATTTCTCTTTACTGCCGAATAATACCCCCTCATGTGGGTGTCCCCCAGCTTCTTGTCCATTCACTTGTCGAAGGGCATCTTGGTTGTGTTAGCCACTGGGAACAAAGCCGCTGTAAACCCTCAGGTGCAGGTTTCTGTGTGGAAGTAAGTTGTTTAAACACCAGGGAATACCGTTGCTGTCGTGTATGGTACGACTGTGTTTAGCTCTGTAACAGGCCTCCAGGTGGCTTCAAAAGTGGCCGAGCACTGGGCACGCCCCTCAGCAGAAATGGAGCGTTCCTGTTGCTCCATATTTTCACCATCGATTGCTGTATTACCTGACTTTTGGTTGTAGTCATGCTAATGGGTATGTTTCAACTCGGAATTTTCTAATGACAAATCATGTCGAACATCTTTTTATTTGGTTATTTGCCATCTGTATATCTTCTCTGGTGTGCTGTCTGTTCAGCTCTTTTGCCCATTTTTAATTAGATTGTTTTTGTTATTGTTGAGTTCTTTGTGTATTTCAGATACAAGCCCTTTACCAGATATGTATTTTGCAAATATTTTCTAACTTTTCATGGCATCTCTTCATCTCTTAACAGTGTCTTTCTCAGAGTAGAAGTCTTTCATTTTTAAAAAGTCCAGCTTACCAATTTTTATTTCATGGACTATGCTTTTCTAATTACATCTAAAACTAAGGTCACTTTGATTTCTCTTATGTTTTCTTCTATAAATTTTATATTTTACATTTAGGTCTAAAATCCATTTTGAGTTAATTTTTGTGAAAGATGTAATGTCTGTGTCTGTCTAGGTTCTTTTTATTTTTTCTCCCCCCTCCCTTTTTTTTTTGTGTGTGGACATCCATATTTTCCAGCTTCATTTGTTGGAAAGACTGTTATTTCTCCATTGAATTGTCTATGCTCCTTTGTCAGTGATCACTTGACTGTATTTCTGTGGATCAATTTCTGGGCGCCTTGTTTTGTTCCATTGATCTCCGTGTCTAGTCTTTCATTAGTACTCACTGTTTTGATTACTGTAGTAGTAATGTAAGTGTTAGCCACTGGGAATCAGGTATTGTGAGTCCTCCAACATTTTTCTTCTTCGCTGTTGTATTGTCTCTTCTGAGTATTTTACCTTTCCATGTAGTCTTTCGACTGTGTCTGTCCATCTACAAAAGAGCTTGCTGGGATTTTGATTGGGATTTCACTGAGTCTGTTCATCAAGTTGGGAAGAATTAACAATATTGACTCCCACATGGAATAGTAAGTTGGGCAACTTAACAATAGTGACTCCCACATGGAATAATACTTCCCCTCTGATTTTTTTCATCAGAGGTTTGTACTTTTTTTATAGAGAGTTTCTGTATATATTTTCTTAGATTTGTACCAAAACATTTCATTTCTTTTGTTGCTTCAGCAAATGTTATTTTGTGTTCTTTTAAAAGACTTTATTCTTTAGAGCAATTCTAGGTTTACAGCAAAATCAAGAGGAAAGCACACAGATTTCCTATATGCCCCCGCTCTCACTCAGGCATGGGAATGTGTGGAATGCCTCGCAGATGTGCACGTCATCGTGAGCAGGGGCCTTGCTCCTCTCCTTTGTATTGTTCCAATTTCAGAATACGTGCTGCCGAAGTGAGTGCTGTGACTGCGCTTTAGTTTCAAATTCCAGTTGTTCGTTGCCATTATAGAGGAAAACAGTTGACTTCTTAACTCTGTTCTAAGACCTAGCTGTCTGTTCTAAGACCTTGCTTGCTTATTAGTTTTAGAAATGTTTTATTTATTGTTTTGTTATGGTTGATTCTCTGGGAAGTTATACGTGGACATGATGTCACTTGAAAACTAAATATCTCTTCCTCCACAATCCTGTATGTTTTATTTCCTTTTCTCGTCTTACTGAGTTAGGTAGAAGGTCCGTACGGTTTGAACGGGAGTAGTAAGAGGAGGCATCCTTGTCTGGTCCCCAGTCTTAAGGAGAAAATACTCGGTTTCTCACCGTTCAGTACGCTATTAGCTGTAGGTTTTCGTAGATGTTCTTTTTCAACTTTCAACAGAAATGTCCCTCCGTTTCTAGTTTGCTGAGAGTTATCAAGAACGGTGTTGAATTTGTCAGTTGCCCTTTCTCCTCTACATGATGATGTGGTTTTTGTTCTTAAGCTTTGTCGATGTGGCTCACATTGATTTTCTAATGCCGAACTAACCTTACATATCTGAAATAAATCATACTAATAAATAAATCATCATGGTGTATAATTTTTTTAAACATTGTTGGATTCAATTTGCTATGATTTTTGAGGATTTTTACATCTATGTTCGTGAGAAGTATTGATGTATAGTTCTTTTTAAAATTTTATATTTTTTTATCTGTCTTGGTTATATTAGGAAGCCTTGTCCTTGCCCTCCCTCGGCCCATACATCTCCCCCTAGGGAGGCCAGAGATCAGCCACACCAGCCCTGTGCCGCCCTCCACAGGCTGCCCTGTCCCCCTCAACCCTAGGCCAGTTGTGGCTCCCAGAGGGAGTCTTAGAAAAAAAAATGTAGAGAGGAATCTTCTAAGACAGGTCCCATCAGGGCTCAAGGCCAAACTGTCCTCGCTGGCTGGCCCAGGCCAGTCGCAGCCTGGACTAGTGACGTAGCAGTAATGTTGAGGAGGCTCTTCCGGTGGTCAGCCTCGCAGAGCGAGTCACAAAGTGTCCCCTGGCTTCACTTTCTAGACGAGGGTGTAGGGATCGGATATCATTTCTTCCTCTGGTGTTTGACAGAATTCACCCGTGAAGCCATCCGGGCCTGGTGCTTTCTTTTTGGAGGATTATAAATTACCGATTTCATTTCTTTAATAGACAGGTGTTTATTCAGATAACTTAACTCTCCTCACGTGAGATTTGGTCCTTTATTTCCGAGGATTAGTTCGGTTCATCCTAAGTGAGAGAGATGGTTGATGTGCGGGCAGCACGTCGTGGGCTGCAGCCCTCCTTGTCTGGAGCACAGCGTCCGCGGGCGGGGGTCAGGGGGTCCTCTGTTCACTGGGTTAGCCGCAGTTTCTGTCCTCATTTCTTCAGAGACCTTGCACATTTCCTCCAGTGTTTGCCCGAGTTCAGGGTTCTTACAGCTGCCTCGTTCCTTCCCCTCTGCCTTCAAGTCTCATGTTTTATGTTACAAATACACGAATGGAAAATATTTTGTTCATCTAATTTGAAGATGGTATTTTAGATTATTGCGTAGTAGATTTGTTTGGTAAAGTACATTTTAGTCCCTCATGGAGTGACTGCTTACGTTTTGGTCCCTGGCTTTGCCGACTTAGCTGTGTTCCCAGACGGTTTTAAGATCCGTCTGGGCCTCTGGTGCCTTGTTCACGGACAGGCAGAATAAAGGCCCGCTTCATAGTGTCAGGGCAAAGGTTGGGTGGGACCTGGCATGACATCATAGCTTCTGGCTCTGTTTCCTAGCCAGAAACTGGTCTCGGAGCTTCTTGGATGTAACCATATTTATTGCGGCTGGACGTGTTGCCTAAATGACTTAATTTCTTTCCGGTGGACACCTGTTTCTTCTCTTGCTTTAGTTTTTACTTTGCATATGGTTCCCTTATTTCTTTTTACAGAAGTACGGAACATTGTTTTTTCTGAGGTGTGAATGTATGTGAACAACGAGCGCTAGAGAACATGACGAATATTGCTAATCTGACCTCCGCCCTTGCTTGCAGGGGAAGGGGAGGAGCCACAGCCCGGCCAGTTGGCGTTGGTGTGCCACGCGGGACGCCGACCTCCAGGGGAGTCCTTTCCACGAGAGGGCCAGTGAGTCGGGGAAGAGGCCTTCTCACCCCCAGAGCAAGAGGGGTCCCCCCAGCTGGGTACAGACCTCCACCGCCACCCCCGTCGCAGGAGGCCTACGGAGATTATGTAAGTGAAGGGGTCAGGCGTCAGCTTTGGCGATCTGATTGGCGCAGTCCGTATGTACGGTGGGGTGTGGCGCCGAGTATCCTCTGCCACCTGCCTTCAGCTCTGAGTACCCCACCTCGGTTCAGCGGCATGTATCGCGTGAAAAAGCATGTATCGTGCCAAATAAGCCCTTGGTGCCAGAGCTATGAAAAACGGAAAAGAAATAACCTCTTCCATTGAACAGCTTAAATCTAAGATGTGGAAGATGAATTCGGATGGTGGGAGGTTCCAGACTGAGATCAAGGACACATTTTTTCAAGCTCTTACAGGATTTTAATGGAACATTCTTTCATACTCCTCTCCAGGTCGCCTCTTAGTGATCCAATCATTTAAAAAATAATTGCCTGCATATTCCAAGCTGTTTTTGCCCTGAAGTGTTTCCACTTAAGCTCTGCTGCTGAATATGGATTCTTAGTGGAAAATCTTTTTAGTGAAGAAAACAAAAGTGCACAGTTTTTCAAATTAATGCAAATCAGCTTTTCATTTTACCATTCAATATAGTTCTTCGACACGGTTCATAGACTGACTTAACATAAGGGAAGGGAAGAAGAACCCTGAAAACTAAGTGGTGGGGGGTGGCGTGGAGGGGGAGAGGAGTTCTTTATCAAGAACACAGACCCCCTGGGATTCTTCCTGTGACTTTTCGGTTTCCCATCCAGGAAGAGCATCAGTAGTGGATGGATGTTTCGCAGTAGTGATCGAAAGTATTAGAGAAAGAGCTGCCGTCGAGGAAAGGGAAGCAGTGTACGGGCGAAATGCGAGAACCAGCCGGTTTTCATGCTGTACCTCAGTCAGGTCTCATGCTAGGTGCTCAGCCCCTCTTTGCACAGTTTCTGGAAGGTTTCAGAAATCTCCCCCGGGCCACAGACAGCCTCTTCAGCTTCATCTGCAGCCGCTGGGAAGATCAAAGCCTTCCTTCCTCCTGGACATAGTGGACTTTTCGTGATTCCCTGATTATGCTGTGCTGTCTCAGGCTTCTAGACCATTCTCTGCCTGGAGGGCTCGTCTGCCTGTCTTCCCCTGACTCTCTCCCATGTGTCCTCCTGGGCTTTGGCGGTCAGAGCTGACCTACAGAGACATCGCAGATCTCTCCCTCATCTAGACTGTGCCTCTGGAAAGACAGGGAAGATAGCTTTTATCCCTCTGTGCTTGGCACAGAGCGCATACGGGGAGCCCAGTGAATTGTACTTAACAGATCTCATAATGCGCTTTCGCCATCTTGCCATACATCTGGGGAAGGACGTGGCCTCTATTTCTTCTCTTACATTTCTTACAGCGGGACGTGTTCCTGTTGACTACTATTCTTACCAAACTTACGCTAATAATCATGCTTCAAGCTTTGCCACCAATGCTGAGTCTCTTGAAAAGAGCAGGACCGTGAGGCAGGGGGCATGCTGTTAGATTCCTTGTAGGTCAGCCAGTGTCCGTTCCCACCGCGTCTCACTGTGAATTCCCTTAACGTCTGGGTTAACGGAGACGTGGCTGGATGGTGCGGCGGTGGTTGTCACAGGCGGTGTGGGAGATGATCCTCCCCTTACTGCGCCACAGGTACCGTGCGAGTCGGGCAAGAGTTTAACTTCTTTGGCTTCACAACCCGCATGTTTCAGAAAGAGCTATTTATCGCCTGCCTTTTGCGCATTAATTCATCTTTCCGTTGAACCAAGACTGAGTGAATTCCTGCCGTGTGAACAAGACACACGTGTTCTCTGTCTCAGCACGTGTGGCATGCAATTAGATGAATACAAAGAAAGGTTCCTTGAAAGGTTAAAGTCCAGGGGAGGAAAAGGACTTTCAAGGCACTTTGTTTTTCTACTCGTAGCTCTGGTTTTTATTGATAAATGACAGGACAGGCATTGAAATAATTAATTCAGGAGTATTCTATTGAGTTAATTTTCTCCCCTTTCCTCCTACCTCACTGGGTAACAGGATAGTGGCCGTCTGGAAGAATTCCGTGTCCTTCCAGGAGCAGACAAAGTTTGGCAGGTCAGGGAGGGAAAGGCAGCCTTCATCGTCTGCGTCCCTCGCTCCCACCTGGCACCCCGCCAGGCACTGCTTGTCACTGTGGCCGCAGTCCTGACACAGTCCCCACTCTTCCTGCCCCAGCGGTGTCACCTGCAGGGCGTGGTGGCCACATTTACCGTCTGCGTTTTAGTTTGGCGGGAGTGTGGCCATTTCATGAACTGCAACAGCAGCTGACGCACGCACGCACGCACGCGCACACACACACACGTGCACACACACACACGCACGTGCACACACATGCACACGCGCACACACACACACGATTGTTTGCCAGCAGTCGCTCTCCCTGCCTCACCTCGCAGCTAGGTTCTGTCGGCCTCGTCTTCCTCCCCGGACCCGACTGTATTTCGACGCCCTACCTCTGACTCCCTCTAACACAGTGTTACGGTCCCCGGCACATCCCCCGTCCCTGGTCGTTGGTCTCAACCATTTGAAATCCTGAAGATTGCTCAGCATGGGAAGGAGAAAAACCCAAACTTAAAAAAAAAAATGTATTTTGTTTGTTTGCGTGTTTCTAGGATTTTAGATCAGGTGGTCGCACTGTAAGATGTCCAACTCAGGAAGCGTAGGGTCCTAAACCCCAAAGTGGATGTCCTTCATGTGGTGGGTCCTCTTAAAATATACTGAAATAATTATTCCATTGAATAGAATAATTGTATACTAGGTTCTCAACTCCGTGAGCATAG